AAACAAAAGGATAGAAAGAGAGTAGAGGCTTGTTAAGAAAGGCTGTCAAGGGGGATGGGGGAATGAAATCCAATTATAGCTCCGGAACCAAAACTCTGAAAAAGCATTGAATACGAAACACATTCCGCCCCAGTGACCGTAAATGGAGAGTAAATCTGGAGGAGACATAGACTGATGGTAAATGGAGAGTAAATCTGGAGGAGACATAGACTGCCTTTTGGCAAACACGGGGGGGAAAATGAAACCAAAAAACCTCAACCAAACCTAGTACTCTGGAATCACAAGCTAGCGGATGTCAGTGATCTTTATCTGTGGTTGCAAGGAAGAATGAAAGAGAAATGTCAGCCAGCTGGTCTCTTCTAATTGGCACTTCTTCATGGATATAAAAGACAGAGAGAATTTCTCTTAGCACATACATGTTTTAAAAATGAAAGACGTAATCAAACAGCATTTGGATCTGTCAAAGGTATAAATTCAATTTTCAGAGGACTTCAGTGAAATAAAAGTCTGACCCATGGGCCAATATTTGATTTCAGATAATCTTTGACATCACATATGGCCAGCAGTGATATTTTATTTCACAACTGAGTAAATCTGTAAGTTGAATACTCTGATGTCTACACCAATTTTATGCCATCAGAAATGAATGAATTACTGCCATATGAATGGTCAAATTGCCTCCAATTTGCTCCATTGTGAAAATCCCATTTTAAAATTCAAAATCCCACAAAACTCTTAACCAATGACTCTGATGCTGCACATTTTAGATTGTGTCCAATTTTTCTCTATTAATTTTTGTAATGTGTTTTATTTATTTTTGAGAGAGAGAGACAGAGTACGAGCAGGGGAGGTGCAGAGAGAGAGAGGGAGCAATTTTTCTCTATTTTAAAATGCACAAAGGGCACCTGGGTGGCTCAGTCGGTTAAGTGTTCGACTTCGGCTTACGTTATGATCTCATGACTGGTGAGCTCGAGCCCCATGACAGGCACTGTGCTGACAGCTCAGAGCCGGCTTCCAATTCTGTATCTCCTTCTCTCTCTCTGCCCCTCTCCCACTCACACTCTCTTTCACTCAAAAATAAATAAACCTTAACAATTTTAAAAATAAATAAAATAAAATGCACAAGTGGAGCACCTGGGAGGCTCAGTCAGTTAGGCGTCGGACCTCAGCTCAGGTCATGATCTTGTGGTTCGTGAGTTTGAGCCCCACATCAGGCTCTGTGCTAACAGCTCAAAGCCAGAAGCCTGCTTCAGATTCTGTTTCTTCTTCTCTCTGCCCACCCCTTCTCCCTGACTCACTCTCTGTTTCTGTCTGTCTCTCGCTCTCTCTCTCAAAAATAAACATTAACAAAAAAATATTTTTAATAAATAAATGAAATGCACAACTTTACATCCTTTTTTTTCTGTACACAATTATTTCCTTAGAATGAACTATTAGAAGTAAAACAAATTGGTCAAAATCTTATAAATTATATAAAATTTAATAATTAAACTATCTGATGGAAAGATTATACCATTCTACAACTTCACGAGAAATCTAAGAAATGGATACCATGTTTGATAGTATTTTTTTTTTAACTTTTATACGTCTGGTGGGTGGAAAATGGTCTTTTCATTTTGTTATATATATTTGAATTACTAATGAAGGGTGAAATTTCATAGGTTTATTGAGTTTTTATGAAATTTTTCATGTTTCAAATGTTTTGCCTGTGTTTCTATTGGGTATTCATTTTTTCCCCTCAACTGCCTGTGACAGTACTTTCCATATTAAGGAATTTCACTATTTCTCCCTTTGTGTGTTACAAATACCTAGTTTGTGCTACACATTAACTTTATGGCATTTGATAAATTGGACCGCATATAAACTTAAAGCTTCAAGACATTAATATTTTCCTTTATGGTTTATGCATCTCGATATATGATAATTTTTTAAAACTTTCTTTCAGAGTACACCCATATGTAGCTTCAAGTTAATTTAGAAAATTAAACTGGATACAGGTAATTATCCACCAGAAGCAGATGTCATAGAACACTGGCTTCTGTTTTCCCCAATTAAGTCTACTGGTTGAATGTCAATGTAACCAAAAGGAGGACAGAAACACATGCCCCTTAGCAAGTGATATCCACTATTGCTATTCAAATGGACTAGGTTACTTCCACTCGTCCAAATGAATTTGAAGTCAGTAGCTTTAAATATTGTAATTTTAATTTGTCACATTGCTGTGCTTCTGAACATCTATGTCAAAGGGCCTTCACATTCATCATTACGATCAATGTCCAAGTTGACACTGTGAGGTAGGAAAGGTAGATGTAAGCTCCCTTTTATAGATAAGGAAATAAAGGCTCAGAAATGATAATGAATGATCTGCCCAAGATCCTCCAGCCAAAAAAGCTTGTAAGATGTGGAATGTAGGTCTCGTAGGCCCCTGATCTAATGTTCTTTCTTCTGTATTAGAGGAGCTCTCCAGGTGAGAGTGGAAAAAGTAGTTACCAGAGCAGAGAAGAGAGGAGTAGAGATGTATGTAGAAGAGCATATTTTCTGGGCAAAACAAAAAATCTTTTATTCCATCTTGTGTTCTACCTGTATTATAGCTAACTTTGTTAATGGAGAATTGCTCCCTTTGCCAAATTAGCAAACTAATTAAAATAACTGATTCTGATACAAGCATTTTGCTAACACTTAATCCTTAAGAAAGCAACATCAAAATTCATTAAATCTGATTCTCTTATTCCTAAAATGTGTGTGACTGTGGAATGGGGTAAAGTAAATCATTACCACATCTAGCATATTTTTTTTTCTGACACCATCCAAGTTTTAGATTCTCCAGCACTAACTGGGTGTCCAACAACACAATTTGGTTTGACACTAACTACCTGGAGTTAGCATTAGACCCCACAGGTTAAGGGTTCAGTCCCATAGACTGACCCATCTCAGATGCCAGCTGCAAATGAGGTGTTCAGGCTTCCCCCATTTCCGCTTGGCCCACTACAAATTTAGGGGCTCTATCAAAGAAAAAAACAGACCTAGACAGTAGTTAAAGCAAGAAAAACATATTTTAATCAGTAGCTGTTGCAATAGGGGAAAAGAGAACTCAGTACTGGCTCAGTTCCAAATACAGGATGGGCAAGGGGATTTATAGCAAGGATCAGGGTGCAGTGGAGGGAACATTAGAGGTAAGTGGGATTCTGGCTAACCCTACCTAACAGGGTTCTTTGCTGAAGGAAAGAAAGTGATCAGATATCACGTGGGAGATGGTGAAAGATAGGGAATTTTATCAGAAATCGAGTTGATCAGATATCAAGGATGTGGGGTTTGGTTAAAGAGTCTTAGCAGGATTCTTGCTACAGCTGGACTCTTGAGGACAAGGCCCAACAACAGGGCCTAGTCAAAAAAGGACTCAGAAAAGCCTATCTAGAGTTTAGTCAAGGAAAAGTCTCTGTCAGTTCCCATAATTCACTAGAATGACTCACAGAACTCAGAAAAGTGCTTTATTTACTAGGACTGGTCGACTACAAAGTGTACAACTCATGAATAGCCTTGGGGAAGGTGGTCAGAGCATCTGTGCCCTCTCAGGGCATACCCCTTCTGCTTCCCAGTCCGTCCATGTCGCTTCACCAACCCAGAAGCCCTCCAAACCTCATGGTTTAGGGGTCTTGGTAGATGTCCCATTATGTAGGCAAGATTGATTAAATCATATCCACCATTTGTGACATATTTAAAACCTAGAGGAAATTATGCTATGTGAAATGACACAGAAAGACAAATGCATTATCTCACTGGTAAGTGGAATCTAAAAAAGTCAAAATCATAAAAGCAGAGTAGAGTGACAGTTGACAGGGACTGGGGGGAATGGGAGGGTGTTGGTCAAAGAGTATAAAAGTTCAATTAAACAGGAAGAAGTTCTGGAGATCTAATGTATAGCATGGTGACCACAGTTAATAATGCTGCATTATATACTTGGCATTTGCTAAGAGAGTTGATCTTAAGTGTTCTCACCACACACACACACAAATCAGAACGGTGTGAGGTGATGAATGTTAATTAGATTGACTGTAGTAATCATTTTACAATGTACACATTATATCAAAACCGTACATTGTACACCTTAAACATACACAATTTTCATTGGTCAAGTAATACTCAATAAAGCTAACACCCCCTCAATCACTCACTTATTCTTCTACTTTAGTGAGAAACAGAGTTTAAGGCAATATAAAAAAAAGTAGTATGAGAAGACCAGCTTTGTTGACCACAGTTGACCCTACATAGTATTAAAATCAAAAGTCTTGTTTTAAATATATTTAGGGATTATCTTTGCTAATCGGGACTTAATTTACTTAGTCTTCTCATATAATCGAATGTCAATTTTCTATCAGAGTTATCAACGAATTACTAGATTGCTAGCTAAAAATGATGTCATAGTTGGACCTCCTGGGTGGCTCAGTCGGTTAAGCGTCTGACTGTTGATTTCGGCTCAGGTCATGATCTCACGGTTCCTGAGTTCAAGCCCCATGTCGGGCTCTGTGCTTGATAGCATGGAGACTGCTTCAGGGTTCTCTCTCTCCCTCCCTCCCTCTCTCTCTCTCTCTCTCTCTCTCTCCCAGTCTCAATAAATAAACAAACACTTTTAAAAAGTTTTAAAAAAAGAATTATGTCATAGTTAACAAATGCCTATCTATATTATTAGTATAAAGAAAACATAACCATTATATGTACAATGAAACACATGAGTTAACATCCGTTACTTTGTGGAAAAATGTGCATTTCTACACTCAACATATTTAAGGTAAAAAATTATACAAGTGTTCAACTTATCACACCCTCTTAAAAGCTGCTAGAAACATGTTAGAAATAACTCATAAATAAGATTTTTTTGGGTGGAATTGTGATATTTACCCATCTATCCTAAAAATAAGGTATACCTATATCCAACAGCAGAAGAAGCCTGTATATTCATAAATATTTTTGAGTAAACATGTAATTCAACAGTCTAATGATACCTTTTGTTCCACCTTCAAAAACTGAGCCAGTTCTTCCACAGTTAGGTGATCTTTCTTGTCACTGTAGCTCAAGAGCAACAAATAAAGGTCCCGTCTCAATGACATCATTTTGTAAAAAACACAGAATTCTTCAAATGTCAAAGTTCCCTGATTCTCATCTGTATCAGCTTCCTGAAAGAGGCATAGAATAAACAAGGCAGTGTGAGAGTTTGAAATAGGAAATTCAGCACAGAGATGCTGAGAAATAATATTTACTATAAAAAGGCTAGAACGCATATCACAAATGGTAAACACATTCTTTTAAAGCACACATGGAACCATTTAAAAAATGACTATTTATTAGGCCACAAAAAAAGTTTCATATTATAAGCAATCAACCTTATAAAAACCAATTTCTCTGATCACAGCAAATTTATAAACCAACAAAGAAAGCTTTAAAAAAAAGTAATTAGAGGAAAACGAAGTTTTCAATTTATTAGAAAGCAAGGTAGATTAAAAATAGATAATAATTCAAATCAAAAAGCTAGAAAAATCAAGCTAAAGAAAATATAAGGAAAAAAATTATAAACAGAAGCAAAAATCAATGAAATAAAGAACCAAATACATACATCAGCAAAGGGAGAGCAATTAAACCAAAAGCTGATCTTTTGAAGAAACTAATGAAAAAGAAATCTTGGAGAAAATGAATCATGAACAAAAGAGAAAAAATATCCGACACATTATGAAAATACCAGTCTCTAACCAGCTTCTGAATGTAATCCAATCAATACAGTTTTTAAATATAACAGAATCCCTCCTAATTTGACAGACATAGTTTATTGTTGTTACAGCTATCAGGATCATTGAAACCTCCTTGTTTCCTCTCCACAGAAGTCTGAAAAATCCATTTAGACTGATTTCTAGTTGAAATAATTTGTTTCTAGTAATTATTGAGCAAGAATCTTTCACCATGTATCTTCCTTCTGATTGGCTGAATTTGCCAGAAAACACTAAAATTGTTGGGGATATGTTATGAGCAACAAATCTATTTACACGATCTTCATTTTAAATGAACACAGTTGTAACTGAACGAAAACTGACAGGGAATGAATGGCAACTTGAAATGCATGGGTTTTATGACATATACTCAGATGTAGGGGGGTTAAACATAGCTTTGAAAGTCAACATGTTCATAAAAGATAGATTTTTTAAAAACTTTGTTAGCTTTGGGACAATTGTGAACACATATTTTAGCCAATATTTAAATCATACACAGTTTCGTTATAGGGCAGATTGCTGTTGCCTTCTATCCTTTTAAAGGTAGAAGGAGAATGGTGTATAAAATATCCACATTTTTGCTGTATGAGATGCTTGTTTGTAGAATCACCGCATTTTAAGAAACTGGGTCTAATGTTCAAATTTCTGTCCTAATTTTGTTTCAAAGTATCTAACCCTGGATACAGAGAAGAAACATTTTTCAACTTCCTTGTAAATGCTGTAACAATTAAGAACAGTAAAACTCTCACATTAAACAACAGCATCTAAAGACTTCAAAAGGAGCTATCCATAACTGAATAGATTATTTTAAAAATTTTTAGTTGAATCTAGCTCTACAACAAAAGCAAAGAAACCTCTAGAAAGGCTTCAATGTCTGTACCAGCAATTCAGCCAGAAGAAGAATGTTCCTGAGACAATGCTAAGATCTTTGGTCCTCTCACTCCCATGAAGGGCATTTACACAACCCTGCTAGATGCAAGACCTACAGTGGAAATGTTCTATCCAGAAATGTTCTATCACTTCTGGCTTTATAAGTCTTTAAACCTAAAGGTCACAGAAAGACCCCCTGATGTTTTCTTAAAGTTTGTCTAAAGGATTTACTTAAAATGCATAAAACATTTGACGTAAACATTTCCTGATTTACCCTCTACAATGTTTAGTGCATTAGAAATAAAAAGGTGTTGGGGCACCTGGGTGGCTCAGTCAGTTAAGCGACCTACTTCGGCTCAGGTCATGATCTCATGCATCATGAGTTTGAGCCCCGCGTCAGGCTCTGTGCTGACAGCTCAGAGCCTGGAGCCTGCTTCAGATTCTGTGTCTCCTTCTCTCTCTGCCCCTCCCCTACTCATGCTCTGCCTCTCTCTCTCTCTCTCTCTCTCTCTCTCTCACAAATAAATAAACATTTAAAATAATTTTTAAATTAAAAAGTGTCTGAAGGGGGAAAACATATAAGTAGAAATAGATCAATAGCTTATGTTATTTCTTTATCTTACTTCCAAAAAGTACTCTCACATCATTATTTTTGCATGTATAGACTTTGCCTTTCTCTTTAAGCTTGGGCCTTCTGATTTAATCAGCAGCTACTCTTCAGTAAAATGAGCATTTTCTATGAAAAGGAACAGATGGGAGTGTGGGGCTCACAACAAGCAAAAGTGAGATGTCACAGGGAGTACCAGGAACACGGCAAAACTTCCCATTAAGTTGAAGGACAGTTCACTTTCTTTGTGACAACACATTTCCCCTCCCAAGTCCCTCACTCCATCTCCAGGGTTCCTTCTATAGCATATTCCTTCGTCTTCTTTCCTCTCTCTTATGTTGTTCTCCAGTGCAACGGGACCAAGTTCCCTTCGCTGCAAACCATGTCCAGCCAAGAGCTTCCCAAGCACAGGCCCACTGTAAGAGGTCACAGAATGGAGCCAGCCTCCACCATTCCTCACTGCCCCTCATCCCTCATGTCATTTGTGCCCTTCCCACCTCTAAGGACAAATGGTTAGAAAACAAAGGAAACACAAAACATTAACCATCACACAATTTCACACCTTCTGCTTATTTTTATATGTACAAAATATCACCGAGATACAAAATATCACTTAGAAAATTATTGTAAAACATGGATTGTGGTTATGACTTATCTCCAAATAAGAGCACTTCCTAAATTAATATATTAGCTGTTAGTTATAATCTAACATTGTCTTTGCACCCACTTAACAGAGCTCACTTCTGCACCTCAGACAGAGGACTAAGTGCAATCCCAGCTGGGTGCCACAGAATAAGTCTGGGCCCAAGGATTTTCCTCAAGGACTGACCAACAGGGAAAGGGCATCTCATCTAATACCAACAGGCAGTTGAATGAACTTCTGGAGAGCTCCCGAAATGGTAGGAGTGATGTAGCACTTCTGAGAATCATGGATTCTAAATCTTAAACTTCTAAGAAACAAAACAGAGTCTCTTGAGAACTTAATAAGTGCTGTTTTTTTCATGTTACTAAGTCTTTACTCTGATCCTCACAAGAGCTCTGTGAGGTAGACACATGAGATGTTATCACCCTCTCGAAGGGACTTCACGGAGTTTGCTCCAATATCTAAGTGCCAGGTAGTCTTATAATTACTCTCTGAAAAGAGCAACAATAAAAAAGCATTTTAGGAAGTGAAACTGTGGACACATGCTAAGTTTAGGAAGTCTTTTTTTCCTTCATGAAACAAAACGCCTCTCTTTTCATCAAAGAAAAATAAAACACTACAGAGTAGGTGATACCAACTTCCAACATAACAAAATAGCCTTTGAAATATCTAAGTACATCAATAACATGCAACGTGTATTTTACAAAAAGCCAACCCATTTGTGAAAACATACCTGAAACATTTGTCGGACTTTTCTTCGGGGCAGATTGACATTTAGTTTATGCATCAACTGGTGTATCTCTTCGATATTCAATAAGCCATCACCATTCTTATCAGCTTCCTCAAAGGTCTGCTTTACCCACATGAAGAAAGGTCAAGAGAAACACTTTTTTCATGAAAATAAAAACTGCTCTCACAGAATACTCACAAGGACATTTATCATTAACACAGAGCTTGAGAAGAAATTCTTTGGAGAAGACCCTGCCTGCAATCCATGGACTAGTGATCTGCTACCAGTGACAACAATCAACAGGGGAATGGGTGCTTGGAGGTGATTCCCTTCACTTTGAAATGAGAGTCAAACCAAGTTCTTCTGGGAGTTTGTTTAACTCACACATTTTTATCCAATCTGTAAAGGAATACGATGTGATGAAACCTCAAATATACCAAATTTAGGCCTTATCTTCTTCCTCTATGACCTTCCAGTTAGCGTATTTTTACCTTCACAATACCCCACACTAAACAACTTTTTCAGTTCCCCTCAGTCCACTCCTACATTTAGAAACTGTCTAGTTCAATCTCCTCATTGTTCAGATGAGGATATAAAACTAGAGGAAGAGAAATTGTTAAAAAATGTTGGTTTACTTAGAGAAAGAGAGAGCAAGCAGAGGAGGGGCAGAGAGAGAGGGAGAGAGAGAATCCCAAGCAGGCTCCGCAATGTCAGTGCAGAACCCAGCACACTCCATCCCCCCAGGCCCCCCAGGTCCCCCAGCAGAAATTTGTTAAGGATAAATTAGTAAGAGATCCACATTTTTGGAAACTTAGTCTAGTATTCTTGTCTCCTATACAGCAGATCTGTCTCTATGCTATATTCATCTCCATATTACCAGCTTGGAAGGTTCTTACCTAAGAGCCTCAAATTTCTAAATCAAAAGCAAACCTCATATGTTAGAGGTTACGCTCAAATTGCAAGTAGGATATTCAGTGACTGAGGGTATGAAGCTGAGTTTAGATACAGAAGATTTACATCATGTGACCTGAGGTTTTAAAAAAAACCCTCATGGGGCGCCTGGGTGGCACAGTCGGTTAAGCGTCCGACTTCAGCCAGGTCATGATCTCACGGTCCGTGAGTTCGAGCCCCGTGTCAGGCTCTGGGCTGATGGCTCAGAGCCTGGAACCTGTTTCCGATTCTGTGTCTCCCTCTCTCTCTGCCCCTCCCCCATTCATGCTCTGTCTCTCTCTATCCCAAAAATAAATAAACGTTGAAAAAAAATTAAAAAAAAAAAACAAAAACCCTCAGGGGAGTGACTCTTGGGTTGTTTCACATCATGAGGAAGCAGAATAAATGGTAACCAATGGGTGATCTGAATTTTTTTTTAAAATGAATAATTCAAGGGGCACCTGTGGGGCTCAGTCAGTTAAGCATCCAACTCTGATTTCACCTCAGGTCATGATCTCAGGGTTCGAGAGATTGAGCCCCATGCCCTGACAGCATGCAGCCTGCTCCAGATTCTATTCCCCCTCCCCAGCTCACGTTCTCTCTCTCTCTCCCTCTCTCAAAATAAATAAATAAATATTTTTTAAAAATGGATGATTCATAGTTATTGGGGGTAAACTGCAAAAAGCAGGAATCACGTGCACACTTAGAAAACCAAACTGGGCTTCAAAATTTGAAGGGGAATAAAGGTGGTGGAAAGAAACCAGAAAATCAAAGTAAGGGAAGGCATAGGTTTAAAACCAACAAATAGGAGAATGAGAGTAGGTGAGAGAGGGGGAAATGGATAATATTTGCCTCAAGCAGATGATATCAAACTGATTTTCATGTTAAGTCAAAATACTAAAAGTATAACATAGCATATTTACATTTCTTAGGCAATTCAAATTATGATTGTAGGAGATAGGACCTCAGGAAGTAAAAACAACCATAAAGACTTATTTCTTCTAGATTTAAATACCTAAATACTGTAAATACCTTGTTTCACATTTTGTTCCCTTTATAACATTGGAAAATAACCAGCCCAGTTCTTTATAATTCAACTTCTCATAGAAGGACCTCATTATACATGACATCTGGAAGTTAACAGGTGACCCAGGACTAGGGTAAAAATAACTGAAGAATCAAAAGAGTGAAACATTTGGGCCAATTATTAATAAATACCTGAATCTCATTTTTTTTTTTTCTGTTTTCTGGACACACAGTCCCCATCCATCTCTATTTCTTATGACTGTGGACACTGCTCTGTGTTCAAGGAAGTCATGAAATGAGTCCAAGAGCAGTCATATTTTCATCCTTTTATTTTATACTTCCTTACCAAAGCCTCTCAAAGACTTCTCCAGAGAAGAGTCAAGGACAAGCAAACCCTAAAAATGAGTATTCTGCCAGTACAAACCCTAAAATAGGCCTGTGTCTATAAGGCCTTCAGTGTCAACATATAAACTGGCCTTGACAATTGGTTTAGGGAATATGGGATTGGTAAGACATAGAGGTAGAATCCAACTGAGAAACAGACACTAGTCCTGATTCTGCTGACCTGGCACTGTGACAGTGGCTCACTTATGGCACACCTCTTGGGCCTTGCATTTCCTCATCTATAATGTCAGTGAACACAACTAGATGACCTTGAAGTCCCTTCCAACTCTAAGATTCTATGAAAGGAAAAACCATTCTCTCCCAGTAACAGTACACATGGTATACAATTACAGGTAAAAGTATTCTGATATCTTAAAGCTATTCTTCATAATTAAGATATGAGTACTCAAGAAAGCTCTAAATTAATGATTCACATCATCATACAGGGTGAGTTTAAGAAGAGAAACAATCATTCTGCAAAGAAAAACTGGGATAGTAAAAACTGAATGACAGTTATGGCCTAGAATTTTCTATCAGAAAGTTAAAGGAAATTCTAAGTATTGAATGGTAGTATTTACCATAGGGTTGGGCAAACTTTTTCTGGAAAAGGCCTGATAGTAAATATTTTAGGCTTTGCAGCTCTCAACTGCAACTACTCAATTCTGCTACTGTGACACAAAAGAGGCTATAAGCACCACATAAATTAATTGGCATTGTTATGTTCCAATACAATTTTATTTACGGACACCGAAATTTAAATTTCAGATAATTTTCAGAATTTCACAAAACATTCTTCTTCTTTGGATTTTATTTTTCCAATTACTGAAAACCATTTCTTAGTTCAGGACCACATATAAAAAAGGCATTAGGCCAGATTTGCCTACAGGCTACAGTTTGCAGGGCCCCTGATTTACTGGGAAGGTGTAAACCTTCAGTTGACAACATCCTTTCGAGACTGCCCAAAGTCTTCCAGAGGTAATAATTTCTCCTGTGGGGTCAAGAGATAAGATGGGGAAATCATGGAGGAGAATGGACTGGCGGAGAAAAATGCTGAGGCTTTCATGCTGGGGCCACTGAGATTTCAGACTTAATCTGAAGAGGAAAGCAAAAGATTTGCCAGTCCTTACCTCTCTTCAGCAATAAAATAGTAGCTATTATTTATAAGTGCTTAATATGTGCTGGACAGTGTTCTAAACACTTTGTGTACATCAATTCATTTGATCTTCACACAACTACATAAGGCACACACTATGATTAACACCATTACCATGTGACAGACAAAGACTCTAAGGCAAAAGAGTTTAAGTTACTTATCCAAAGTTACCCGGTACATGGCAGAATTGGGGCCAAATCCCAGGCAGTGCAATACTAGTCCTTAAACACAACACTGTATTGCTATTAACAGACATGAGTAATGCATCTACCTCCATGAAACATGGCCATATTCCAGAAATAACCTGAATTACATTTTACACTGGAGGGATTTTTTTCATACAGCCACTTAAGATTCACTATTCTCATTATTCATTCACAGCTGAAATTTTCAGGCCTATTTGTAATGTTGTCCTCAACTAATGTAATTAAATGTATGTCCAACCAAAGATGTTATTCTGTTATTAAAATATTACCTACAACCCTATCAAATCCTGACAAATATGTATGAGGATTGTCCTCTGATTCAACATAACTATTCTATTTTTGACATCAGCTTCTTTATTATTAATTTCCTCTGTCCTTTTCTCTCCTCACTGACACAAGCATCAACTGTTTCTATATTTCTTATAAAATTATTCCCTGTGCAATTCTTGGGTACGTTTGCTTTCCAAATAGCATATTTTCAGAATATGAAATCCCTCAGCTGTCAACCTGGTTAATTCAAACACGAAAACTTTCTATTGCCAGTAAACACGGGCAAACGAAATCAGGTTCAAAAAGCTATTGAGCTAAGCTAGTATAAATTCAAATTAGAATATTATAACTTTATGATGTTAAATGTAACCCCCATTGTAACCATAAAGAAAACAGCTATAATGTATAAAAGGACATGAGAAAGGAATTTAAAATTTCACTATAAAAGTATCAACCAAACAAAAAAGACAGTAATGCAGATGCAGGAAACAAAAGACAAAAAAGTTATAACACATATAGAAAGTGAACAGCAAAATGAGAGAAGAAAATCCCTCCTTATCAGTAAGGAGTTTAAATGTAAATGGATTAAATTCTCCAATCAAAACACAGAGATTGGTAGAATGGATTAAAACACATGATCCAACTATATGCTGTCTACAAGAGATTCACTTAAGATCCAAAAACCTGAACAGGTTGAGAGTGAAATGATGGAAAAAGATATTACATGCAAATAGTAATTGAAATGGACCAGAGGTGGATTTACTAGTATTAGACAAAATAAGCTTTAAATCAAAAAATGTTTCTAAAAGATAAAAAAGGACATTATATGTTGATAAAAGTTTCAAATATAACAATTATAACAATTACACATCCAATGACAAACCAAAATATATGAAGCAAAAACTGACAGAATTGAAGGGAAAATAGACAGCTCTACAGTAATCGTTGGAGAATTCAATATCCCACTCACAATAAAGTATAGAAAAACCACATGGAAGGTAAGGAAATAAGAGAATATAAACAACAAAATAAACCAACTAGGTCTAACAGACATGTACAGAACACTTGAACCAACAATAACAGCAGCATACACATTCTTCTCAAGCACACAGAGAACATTTTCCAGGATAGATAATATTGTAGACCTAAATTAAGTCTC